TACCCAGAGCAGTTTAACCTAAACCTTGGTCGACCCTCCCGGTCAACCGACCGACTCTAGATTCTAACCTTCCTTGGCTGCCTAGGTGACCGACCCAGCCAATCCCTAATCAAGGTATTCCCTTGCTCGCCCTGGGTGACGCACAGCATTCCCTGATCAAGGTATCACTCGTTCGCCCTAGGCAACCGATTGGTCCCCAAGGTTAACTAATTCTACTCACCCCTTCTCACCGATCAAGCAACTCAATCACCCGCTCGGTCGGACGACCGACCGACTCTACACTCCACTCCTACCTTTCCTCACTTGGTTGGACGATGGACGACCTAACCCACAACTCCAAGACGGCACCTGTCGGTCAAGAGACCGACCGAACGAACTTACATCTAACTCGACTTTGCCTTCCAAATTCCGTCCAAAACATCCGAAGAAGGCCCAAAAAATTAGTCAAGACGCCGGAAACCACCGGAAATACCAAAATTCATGCCTATTCCAGAAATCTATACTCTGAACTCCTCAAAAATCCTCAAAACTAACGCCGAGCTCAGAACTTCAATCTATCTCCAAAACACAACAAAATCTACCAAAATAGACAAAGAAACGCAAAAAGAGAAACACACGGAAAACGAAATATTTACCATGAAAGGAGCCAAAGTCTACCGAAAGAAGTACCGTCGCGAAAAGAGACCAAAAACGCAGAAGAAAAAATCTTTTTCTGAACAAAAACGGAGGAAACTGCAAATGGAGACGAACGACCTGTTCACTTATTTTTAAAAGAAAAAAACTGACAGGTGAAACACTTGGCAGCCCAGATTGGCTATGGGTCAAAGCGCCTTTTTGTTTTTCCCGCCTCAAAAACGAGGATCTGATCCTCGCGAACACGTGGCAAACACCATACGCTGGGAAACCGTAACGCAAGGAAGCTTGAATCGATCGCCCAGATCTGTCTACCGAGTCAACCACCCCGGTCGTGGACTTAATACCCTCACGAATCACATGTTAGGAGGCCTCCCCGACTGATCGATCGACTGGGGACGATCCAGCCCGAGCCCTCGCCCAGTTGTCCTTCGCGGGGACGAAGTGGACAACCAATGTCAGAGCTCGCATACAACATCCACTTGGTCGCACACTCCTCCTGACCGACTAGCATTGACTCTTAAAGGCCCTCAAATGTCTTATGCTTTTTGGCCTAGAGGGCCCGGCCGACCAACGATCAGCTTGGAACGGCCCGTTTCGAGCATCTTCAGAACAAAAGAGGCCTCGCCGTTGCGTTCCGTAGCGGATGAATGAACAACTTTTGGTCGAAGTACTATCTCGTCCACTCGAAGCGCCACGACTACCGACGAGGCGAACATTTTGAGATTAATAACTTTTACCTCACTTGACCAGGCATGCCGAGCGACATGGGCATGCCGAGCGATCGGGCGTAACGAACGAAGCGCCTACGCTCCGAAGCTACATCTCTGACCCTTCAGTCCTTCATAGCGATCGGGCACAGCACTCTAATGATGGTATACTCTGGATCGGCATGGATAACCGAACGACCCAGAACAAAAATCACTTGGATCAGTACACTAAAACCGGTCATCCCGAAAGAATGATCGAGCGTCATCGATGGTTCCTACTCTCTGACTTAAGAAACTCTTAACCAGAGAGTGGGGGACAAATGGTAGGGCCAAAAATCGCCTTGGCCCAAATAGGCAAACGGGCCCGACACTGAAAGAGAAGCTAGGCCCAATCCCGATATGACCAACCGGATTAGGCCATTCGATCAAGATATAGCCGGCCCAAACCACGTGGGCACAAGTCCTAATCCAGTCCATTTCTAGGTCATGGGCGAATCCAGAGCCCACGACTCCCTCATAATACTTCCTACTCCGATTAATTCCCATTCAAGGTCACCTTCTATTCTGATCACTTTCCAACTCGGAGTCACTTTCCTTATCAGAATCACTTCCTATAGACAAATGGTAAGACAGTTTACCCGACACCTAATTCTTGCTAGGGTTTGCATCAGAGTCATGTAGGACTCCTACTTCTAGGTTGGGAGACCAGACAATCACTATATAAGCAGAGGGGTAGCCCTTCACAAGGGAGATCACATTACACCTTCACACCCGAAGCTCCTACTTGAGAGCTTTACATCACCGCCGTAGTCACGGTCCCCGACTAGACTTCTGGTAATCTCTATTCCCTAGCCCTCACTATATTAGCCTTTTTCAGTCTTGCTGACTTGAGCGTCGGAGTGCCTACGGCAAACACCACCCCGGTGTTTCCGTTCGCTTTACGCGTGTGTTTCTCTACATGTGCAGGTGTAGCGGATCGCTGGTGGCCTCAACCTCACGGGATCAGACCCCCCCTTCCGTACAGGTAGATTTTTACGTCTACAGTGATTAGCCTACTTAATTCTTATTCTAAAATATTACTATTTTTTTAGTCAGTTGTCAATGATTTATTATATTTATCCTTTATGAGATGGTTTAATATGAATGTATCTAATATTATTATTATATTTATCCCACTATTTCAAGAGATTACTAAATGTATGATAATATTAAGTGATTGATCAATGTCAATTGTTGACTTTGTACAAATTGAAGCATAGGATAATAAGTTATGATGTTGATATATAATGTAAAATTCTTTGATGGGTAAGATTAGTTTAATGCAAAATGAGATAGGAACATCTTTGGATTGAACAAAAATTGTCAATTTGGGGAGACAATGGAGAGAAGCCAGATGCAAATGGGTAAGGGGTGTCAATAATGGTTTTGTTTTCTAGGTATTACATTTCCATGTCCACATAGACTCTTTTGTTTCTTTCCTAAATTCCCAACCAAAATTACAACAGCTTGGTGAAACCTTGTGTTTGTGGATGGTGAAATCAATTTTTATGCTTAACTAATTGATGAAATTTCCAATATGTTAGATGTGATTCTGAATTGAGGAAGTTTTCTTTCTTGATTATAAAATTACCAAGACAATGAGGACGTGGTTAAATTTATAAAATATTTTTTTTAATTTTAAAAAGGGTTAGTTTCATCAATCCTCTAAGAGATCATCATGTTTCAAACGCCCATCTAGTTTTTAGAATAAACTATTAAACATCCCTCTAAAGCATTGAAATTTGAAAACATTAAAAATCCATTGCAAAACTTAAAACCCCCCTAAAGAAGGACATATTTAATAGTTTTTGAAAATTGTGAAGTCCTTAAGACTTAATCATCTCCTAGAGAAATAGATGAAATTAACTCTTGTAAAACTAGTCAACATTGAGATAGAGGACACCGACTCGTATTAGTCTGTATTACTTGTAATGTTACATAATTGGAGGAATGTACATATTATGATTTTTCTTATGCAAAGAATAAAGTAAAAATAAATTTAAATTAATGATAATGTTACAAGTATCCTAATTTTTAGACCTGTTTTTTCGGCATAAACTATTTTAAAGTGGGTATTTCTTTTAACATAAGAACTGACATGAAAAGTTTAAAACAACTTATTATCTCCGCCTAGTTGGATTCTTTCAAGAGTTATAATTTTGGCATAAATCTGATACTTAATTTTATAAAAAGATTAAATTATTAGATGAATCAATTCTTTGGAATCTAAGAGAAAAAATGTATCTTAGTATCTACAGCATGACACCATTGGTTAATTCAATTGTGCTGGCCCTCCCATTCTAACTTCAAGAAATTTGTAAACGTTGTGTTGTGGTTTAAATAGAAGCCGGCAAGAGCCGGCCACAAGTGCTTCCAAGAGCAAAAATTGAAAAGGAAATTGCCGGCTACAAGTGCTTCCAAGAGCAAAAATTGAAAAGGACGTGTCTAAGTAAGCGTGCGCTAAGACACCACTATATCTTTTGTTAGATGACTTTTTGGTTAAAGCATTGAAATTGAAAACTACGTTGTTGGAAAGTGCTTTCAAAGTATTTGCATCAATTATTTCTTATTGGCAAAGCCAAACAACCCCTAAAAGACAATTTTATCTACTTTATATTATTATAGTCTATGTGATGGGATGGGACCAACTGCAAAAAAAAAAAGAAAGAAAAGATTTAGATAACAATCTTTGAATCTTTTATCACATGGATGGAATTTTTTTCTTTATTTGTTCTTGCTTTTATTTGAAGTAAATCATGAGATATTTATGTAATTATCAATTGAACAAAAAAAGAGGAAAGGTAAACCTTACAAGTTACAAGAAAATAGAAAAATACAACTTATTATTTTTCACTAATTAAATTTAATTGCTAGATTAACATTACAATAATACAAAATCAATAGATATTAGTATTTCACAGGAAAAATGGTTATTAACTTATGTTATGAAATTTTTTTGTAAAATTAAAATGATGTAATACATTTGATACATATGATTAAAATAACATAATAAATAGAAAAAAAAATAACTAAATTAAGTTAATAATTTATTATCAATATAATCTTTCATTTTTTAATCCATATTGTTTTGTGTCATGTATAAGTTTAAAACAATTACAATATGCATAAAAAAAAAAAGTTTGGATATTATATTTTCACAATGATAAAACTTAAAATTATACTCTTATATTCAAACCATGTGAAAAATAATTATTTAATGATTTGATAATATTATGAAATCATTATAAAGATTAATAGATAATTATTTATTGATCGATAATATTATCAAATTATTATGAAGATTAATAGAACATGATAAAAGTTTTATAATATTATCAAAATACAAGAAAAGCTAATATATATATATATTAAAAGCCTCAATATTTTAATATTAATATAATCTAAAATACAACTTAATAGAACCCGCATTTGTTTTGTTTTACTATATAGAAGCAAATGCGGTTCATCTTACCACAAGTAACTAAACATCATTATATAATTCAAACGCCTCTCCTTTGCCAGTTGGAATCCGCAACTGTGTCATTATCTTCACTCCTCCGCCCTTAAATTCTGCTACATCCATTTTACCTCTACTCAATTTCCTCATCCTAAACCTCTACAATCATGGGAATATCCAACCCAGATGAAGAATCTGCTCAATCGATTCGACCCATTTCACGTTTCAGGTACAACTCGCCCCTAGTACAGGTATGCCTAATTGGTGTTGTCTGTTTCTGTTGTCCTGGAATGTTCAATGCTTTGTCAGGAATGGGTGGTGGTGGCCAAGTTAACCACGACGCTGCTAATAATGCCAATACTGCTCTTTACACCACCTTCGCCATTTTTGGCATTCTGGGTGGTGGCATTTACAATCTTTTGGGCCCTCAAGTGACCCTCCTCTCCGCATGTTCCACTTATGTGCTTTACGCCGGCGCTTTTCTTTACTACAATCATTACCAGCATCAGACTTTTGCTATTGTTGCAGGTGCTCTTTTGGGCATCGGCGCTGGCCTTTTATGGGCGGCGGAAGGGGCCATTATGACCTCTTACCCTCCACCTAACCGGAAGGGTACTTATATTTCAATTTTTTGGAGTATTTTTAATATGGGTGGTGTTATTGGTGGACTTATTCCTTTTGTTCTTAATTACAATCGTGGTAATGATGCTACTTCTGTTAATGATGGAACTTATATTGGGTTCATTTGCTTTATGTCTGCTGGTGCTCTTCTTTCTTTGGCCGTTTTGCCACCGAGGCTTGTTGTGCGTGATGATGGGAGCCGGTGTACCAACATTAAGTACTCTAATGTGACCACTGAGGTTATTGAAATTGCTAAGTTGTTTTCGAATTGGCGGATGCTTTTGCTTATGCCTGCTTCTTGGGCTAGTAATTTCTTTTATACTTATCAGTTTAATAATGTTAATGGGGCCCTTTTTAGTCTGAGGACAAGGGGTTTGAACAATGTTTTCTATTGGGGTGCTCAAATGTTGGGTTCTGTTGGGATTGGTTATGTGTTGGATTTTAGTTTTCAGAGTAGGAGAAGAAGGGGATTTTTTGGGATTGGCTTGGTGGCTCTGTTTGGTACAGTAATTTGGGCAGGTGGTCTTGCTAATCAACTCACTTACTCTAAGCCTAAAACTGTGACGTTGGATTTCAAGGACTCTGGTCGTGATTTTGCTGGCCCCTTTGTGTTGTATTTCAGTTATGGGTTGCTGGATGCTATGTTTCAGAGTATGGTTTACTGGGTCATTGGAGCCCTGGCTAATGATTCGGAGACTCTTAGCAGGTAATTATCATGTTATGAAGCTTCAATGTTGCTTAATCATAGCCATCTTTGGAACATATTTGTAGTCGTTGCATTGTGAAAGTTTCAGTGCAGGATATTGATGTGATTGAAAGGGTGTATATGCTTTTACCATTGTGTGTATAGGTCATGTACATTGACAGACTTGTACGATTGGATGAATGCATATGCAGTTGTCATGTTAAATTCTTTTTCCTGTTCAATTAAATTGATTTCTTTTGTTGTCGCAGGTATAGTGGATTCTACAAGGGAGTGCAAAGTGCAGGGGCTGCAGTGGCTTGGCAAATTGATACTCACAAAGTTTCATTCCTCTCGCAATTGATTGTTAATTGGTCTCTCACTACGGCTGGTTATCCGTTGCTTGCACTTCTTGTCATTTTAGCTGTAAAGGACGACAATAAGGCTGAGGAAGGTCCTCCCAAGGATGTTGCTCTTCCATCTTTTGATGAAGCTTCTGGTGGGGTTGCCAAGCCAAATTAATAGCATCCCTTGTTACATTCTCTTCGTCTATATAGTTTGAACATTGTGCCTCCTATTTCTGTACTCTTGTTTTCTATAGTGCCATCTCAATCTTTCAGAAACTTGATGTCTCTCAATTGTAGAGTATATGTTGCTTCGTCATTGTCCATCCCATTAAAGGAAAGAAATAAATTTAAGATTACGTGTTTACAGCTGAATTCAGATCTCTTCTCAAGTGTTATTTGGTTTTTTCCTTTTGCTAAATTGTGTATTTGAAGTGCTTGATACATAGGAAGCTTGTAAGTTTGCCGTGGTCTTAGCCAAACTAACAAGTAATTTTTGTAGATTGCTCATTTTGAATTATATATTATAGTACTTTTATGATAGCTTGCACTGGATAGGTTGATTGCTTGATAGCATGTAATCTATTTTCGTTTCTGTTTTACTTCAGAAAACACTGATGCTACATATTATTTGCCTATAAACTAACTACACATTCATATAGATGGTTTATTAATACATCTCAAACATAGTTTTTCAGCTCATAGGAGGCTAAAGTAACTGGAAATTCTGCGAATTCGAGTTTAGGATAATTTCCTCATCATCAGATACAGATCTTGATATATTAATGTGTTAGTTTTTGCTTCATAAAGACTTCTCTTAAGAACAGTACGATCTGTTTCTGGAATTTTATGCAGAGAACACTTTCTCATGAAAATATGGTCAGTTTGTATGATAAAATCAAGGTCAAGAGTGAAGGTCTTGGGTTTCGTGGCATTTTGGAAATAATCTTATCTCCTCTGCATAACTGCTTGATCTTCATTGCCAGCACTATATACAACAAATTATGTTCTTCTGAGCTTTTAAGTATTTTGTGACGTGTAACATCATTAATCATGTGTTAATACGATCAATATGGTATTCAGGTGAAGATCATATGTCAAAGTTATCCTTGGTGTATGATGATCATTTTTTCTGGTATAATATAGGTGTCCAACGTCTTCCTCTTCATTTTGAGAACCCACTCTGCGTGTATCAACAGTTTTTAAGCAACTACGTTAGGGAAAGAGGCATCACAAGAAAAAAGTGAATTCTAATACAGTAAAACCTCTCTATAGTTATAATGGTGAGATTAACTAATTTTTTGGAGGTTATAACTTAATGGAGGTATAGTTATAAAAATTATAGACGTGTCTTGGAACCAGTAAAGATAAGTGTTATTGATGGAACTATACTGTAGTTGATGCATGGTCAATTGATGTGAAACTACAGATAATTGTCAATGGTTTTAAACATTGCAAAATTAGGACCTTCGATTTCGAAGAATTGCAAGTTACAAATGAAGTGGACGAGGAAAATAAGAGTCATTGCAAGATTGAGTGATCAGATTCGACAATTTCACTACACTAATCGAATGGATATTAATGTCTTTCTCGATCATCCAAATGAGCAACAAATAGTATATGTTTTAACCAAAAAAGAAATCATTGCTACAATTAGACAAGAAGATAAATAAAATAATCCTAAGGATGATAGTACGAAAATACAAAAAGTTTCATGCCATGAGGCTCTAAACATGCTTGAGAAGCTAAAAATATTTTGGCTTCAACAAGAAGGTGTCCATGCTAGCAAGTTATTACATACTAGCAAGGTAAAATATGTGGTAACAACTCTAAAATATAAATAATTGTCGCAAACAACTTTAAATAAATATTTTATTTTATCTTAAATCTTTAATGTAATATAACATATATTTTTTTGGTAATATATAGATAATTATTACTATGTGGATGCAATTTTCCTTAAGACGAGAATTAGAAAAATTATAACTTATTATAATGTGGAGTTTATTCTTATTTATAACTATCACAAATTAGGATTAGAATTTTTTATGACTATGTAGAGTTTATTCCTATATAGAGTATCACTATAGAGAGGTTTTATTGTATAAAAACGATAGTTAGATATATGAGAATCCTATTATCTTTGTATTTCATCAATAATATTATAAGGAACCATAAAAATGGAATTAATATTAGAATATTGGAGAATTGTTATATGGCGTAGAAAAAAATATTTCACCGAATGCGCGCATATGAACTCATTTAATCAAAACTTTGGTGTAAATTACACGCATTAATCCTTCAAATCTTGATTCAAGGAAGAAATTTTGCTGGGTGCAAGGTCCTATGACTCTAGATTATGATATTCAATGTAAAACTAGTAATAGAATATAGAATTTGGCCAAAATATTTTAAGGAGTTAAAAGACATAGGCATTGACGTATGATATAATAACAAAATTCCAGTGAGACTTTTTAAGTAACAAAAATCCCTTTGCTATTAATGAATCGTTAGTGAGCTGTTAAAATTTACATTAGTATGATTTTTGTTATCTTATCATACCTCAAAGGGATTAATGTTATTTTCTTTTTGTTTAGTTTCATAATCTTTGTTGATGCGAGATTCTAACACCAACTAATCGACACGTGCGCAACGTTGATTAGTCAAGAAACACACGTGATTATGGACAGAGAATACGAAATAAATGCAATAAGAGCTTTTAAAGTGGTTCGGATGCTAAGGTAGCAAGTCCTACGTCTACTGATTTGTATTAATATGGTGGGTCAGGTCGCAAAAGCGGACTGACTTACAAATGATTGGGAAAAGTAAATACAAAGTTTTTAGAGAGAGAGAGTTCAAGTGTAAAATAGCCGAATCCCCTTAATGAAGGGGTCTTCCTCTTTTTATATCGAGTTGAATACGTGTAATCATCATTAAATCCTTGGGTTGGTGTGAATGTCAGGACATAATCCAGCTTTACGTCCCATTGCCCACTTCCCAAGCCGATTTCACGCGATTTGGAGCAGGGAAATGGACATGTGGGAGCTCCATGGCGTTTGGCAGGCCTGTCGCGCGCTTACTGTTCTGACGGGAGCAGGTCACGCTTTATCACGTGACTTTCCACGTCAGCCCTTGTTTTCCCAGGCATAACAGAAGTCCCCTAGTTTTTAAGGTTTGAGGATCGAACCTTGGAAACTAAGTCATGCCGCGATTGGAGGTTCTGGCAATTTCGACCTGAATGGAAGAAGCTCGGGACAGGGCCTTTTGCGAACACGACCTCGCACAATTTTTGCCCAAACGACCTGACAATCATCATCCTAGCGACCTGGAGTCATCGGACGTTCCTTTCCGTGCCTTAGGTTTGGAGATTCAATGAACCTGTTTCTGCGCTGTTAGGCGCTTTGCACGTGTTAAAGCGTCTGGTAGGCGCATTAAATGCGTTGTGTGCTGACCCAACGCCGTTTTGACAGCATTAATTGCATGACGCATTTGAAACAACGACCCTCATCACGACATTTAATGCGACATGGGGCGCATTTAATGCAGAGAGAGAGAGAAGGCTGTCGTTTCGGTTCCGAGAGGTGGTAACCGTCGATTCGCAGTCCATATAAAAGCTCACATTTTTCAGATGATGCCACCAAAATCCTTTTTGCCTCGAGTGACAAGCCTTTGCAAACCGGAAGTTCTTCTTTTCCGATTGGCGCCTCTCAGATATCTTAAACAAGAATCGGCCTTGGTCACGCATCCCAGAAGGTAAGATCCTTTTTCTTCTTTTTTTTTTTGGTTTGGTTGGTGGGCAATGGCGTTGGGTCTCTTGGTGTTTCACTAGAGACGCGACGCTGTCGTCAGATTCGAGCCGTGGATGGCGACTCAAGTTACTGTTAGGGTTTAAGGAATTTGTCCCATGCCGCCGCACGGGGCAACATGCGAAGGCTAAAATGACCATGTCTGTCGGTGTTGCAGACTCTGGAATGGAACCGTCAACGTCCAGACTCGAGGAAGGAACCAGCTCGTCCTCACGGGACGTTCCCGCGGACGCATCCCTTGACGTCTTCTCGGTTCTCACCCGAGAAGAGTTCGATAGGATTAAAAAGCAGTACGACGTCCGCGCAGAGGTGTTCCTCGACAACACCCGGTCGTCACGGCATCCTTCCGATGGCCTTGCTGCGATCTCCGAAGAGATCTTCAAGGGTGGAGGGATGATTCCCTTCCATCCTTTCATCAGGTCAGTCCTAGATCACTTCGGGATTGCACCGATGCAGCTGACGCCAAACGCGTATGTCATTGCTGTCGCAATGTACATCGCGTGCTGCGAGAGCGGCTTGGGCGAGCCAACGGCGGTGGAACTCGGTATCGCCTACTATCTTAAAAAGAGCAGGGACAAGGATTCGTATTACTTGTCCCGGTGACCTACCATCGCCGATGGGATACATAGCTATCCCAGCAACGCGAGGGCCTACGAGACAAAATTCTTCTTTTTCTGTTATGACAACTACTGTCGCTTTCAGAAACCAAGTAGGTTCTTCTTCGCTAGGTTCATTGTCTGTTCGCATGCTTTATCATAACGACCTTCCTTCTTTTGCAGTTAATAGAACGACCAGCTAAGACCTGCTTGACGACCCGGACAGGCTCATGTCTTTTGGAGTCCTTCCTGAGGAAAGCCGGGATGCGAGGAAGCTCGTGACAACCGCGAACTTGCGGAAGTACGGTTTTATCAGTAACAACGCGTCTTTAGAGCCCCTAGAAGGTAAGTTACACTGATTCCCTTCTGGTCGCAGAATAATTTTGTTCAGAATGCCCGACATGCGACCGTTTGATGGGAGTGGAGCAGCTCCATCAGGGCATTCTTATATCAGACATGTGACCGTTTGATGGAAACCATGACCCGCAGGATCATTTGTATGAGTTCAACGACTTGATGGAGCTCCACCAGGTTTCGGACCTTGCAAAATGCCGTTGTTTGGCCATGACGCTCACTTCTCACGCCAAGCGATGGTTAAGGTCGCTCCCAGGGGGATCGATCAGTTCGTGGCCTCAGATGAGCACGACGTTCCTCTGGCATTTCCAAGCAAATTGGAAGTTTTCGATGCCTTTGAGCTACCTTAGCAACATAAGGCAAGAAAGAGACGAATCCCTGCAATCTTACATCGACCGTTTCTACAGGGAACTCAACAAGGTGGCTCACGCTCCAGAAGAGTCCATCCGAACACTTATAATAGCTGGAGTTCGCCCGCAAACCGACCTGTGGAAAGAAATGCAGGCTAAGGACGATGTTTCCCTCACCAGATTTTACAACCTTGCAGAAAAATATCTCCGAATAGAGAATTCATTGGCAGCACTCTGCCGTCGCGATCACGGCACTTCGAGCAGTATGT